CGACGCGCCTGTTGATGACCCTGAACTCCTGTATCTGCATGATCAAAAAATGCAGGCCAAATGGCGTCAGTACATTGAATGTACGAGCATGCAAGGGAACTCTAAAGCATAGACATAAGCTTGAACTGATAAAAAGAAAGAATATACTCACCTCATCTCAACTCAACTCAAGGATAATCAACTCAATTCAATATAAAAGAAACAATAAAGATGCAGTACAAAGAAAACTTTTATACTCACCTCATCTCAACTCAACTCAAGGATAATCAACTCAATTCAATATAAAAGCAACAATAAAGATGCAGTACAAAGAAAACTTTTAAAATACAATATAATAACTCAATGTATATTAATAGACTCGTTACTCTTATTTTGGGAGATTCTCTAACCGACAACCATCACTATGAGCTATGTGGTGATAGAGCGTCTTACCCACGCTGCCAGAACTGTCCTATACCTTTCCAGGTTATAAGATATCCTCAACTAAGTATATCCACTAAGCTATGCTTAAAAGCAATAAGGAATAATCTAAAAAGTATGACCCTTTACCCATATTGACATACATGATTTATGAGGACTTTGAGTTGTCTGAACTCGTCCTCATATTAGTGCTCAATACTACTCCCAATAATATAACTTATGCTCATATGTTTAAAAACATTTCCTCATCATCAAACTGTGAGTTTATTACTTAAAAGATTCTCTTAAAAGAGATAGTTCTCAAAAACTCCTCATGAACTCATTTGGAAATCAAGGTTTCCTCTCACTTTAAATATAAAAGCATTTACACTTGGGGATACTTAGTCCCCGTAAATTCATTTTGAAAACATGAACTCAACTCTCTTCATCCTCATACTCAAGTACCTAAGTCTTAAAACAAGTTTTAAAAGATTGTAAAAGACTTCTCAAAACGACTCAAAGGACTCCCTCGAACTTTACTCTTAACTTTATCTAGAATTGGAAATGTGAATTCAAGAATTTTGATTTAGATATATAGTTTTCTCATTGATTAGATGTAGTTTGGATAGTTAAAATCAGGAAGAGGTCGAAGATACGTTTTAAAAGATGGGACGAACGACGGAAGAAGAATGGAGGCAGACAACCCTGACGCATTCCTGGCGCAGGGTGCCAACCCCAAATCATCAGAGACCCCATTTTGCCGCATTGCAGGTCCGCCATGCCAGCCCCATTGGCGCATCTGGGGTGCGCCGCGCCACCCTTTTTCCAAATCATCCTCACAAATTTTTCTTCTCGATTTTTTGTCCTAATTCACCTAGAATCAATCAATCTCTTTCAAACTTCCTTAGATTCATTAATCCAACATAAGAAAATAAAAATCTACTCAAATTTCCTCAAGAACAACCCTCAACTCAATCCTCACCTCAAGAACTCATCAAACCCCATTAATAAAGAATGAAGAACGAAACCTCAAGAAAACTCATCAAGAACTCAATACACAAAATCTCATGGACGAATACAATAAAGAAACTCATGATTGGAATGAGGGTGAACTAACCCATCACTATGAAAGTTTACATACCTTGAAAGAATCAAATTCTTGGCAAAAATCCTCAAAGCTTGCAAGAATCTTGAACGTTCTTCTCTTCTCCTCTTGAACTCCTCTCAAAAATCCTAAGCGTGTTTAGGAATGAATTAAACCTATTCCAATCAGTTTCGACCCCTAAAAGATTAACAAAAACGATCTAGGCTAGTGGGGGTTAGGAAAAGACCAAAATACCCCTCCTTAAAATGGATGAATAACCTTAACTGGACAGGTTGTACTCAAACGGGCATATCTCTTTCATCTAAACTTGGAATTTAGGAAACTTGGTGGCATTGGAAAGAGGACTCAACAACCTTTGATTTGATATCTCATGGCCACCCAAATCATTCTGAGCTGAAAGTTATGGTCGTTTGAAGTTGACCCAAAACTCACAGTTTAAGAATAACTTGCAAAAATCTCAAATTGGCTATTTCAAATTTAGTTCTTTCTAAATTAGCTCTTTCTAAGACTAATGTGCTACAAAGGAGAAAGGAAGTTAAAGATCAAATTAAGAAAACAAAAAGAGATAAACTTGGAATCGGGATGTTTCTTCCAATGTCAAAAGTATGTTGGCTCATATGCCAAAATCATAAGCTCTCTTGCTGATATTATCAAGCAGTTTTTTCCACTATGCTTATCGAGAGAAAAACTCTAAGAAAAAAAATCATTCAATAGTATCCAAAAAGTATCATGTTGTAATTATAATTTGATTAATCAAAAAAAAAATTATATGTAAAACAACAATATGAAAACATGATTCGTTTGATGTTTTTAGTGGCATTAACAATAGAAAAAAAATCAATAAGTACAAAGAAGAAGAGGAGGAGGAGGAGGAGGAGGAAGAGGAAGATATTGTGAGATATTAATCAATAGGATTGAGAATCTGACCAAAAAAATAATGAATAGTATTAAGAAGGATAAGAATTAAATATAAGATTTCAGTAAAGATATGAATACTAGGTAACTTCTTTTCACTTATTTGAGTTGCATAGTTAACTGGATTACGAGAGGAGCTAAATGATGTCAAATATTTTTATTGAATTCCCTTTGCTAAAAAATACACTAATGCAAACAGGGTAAAATGATTTTTTAAATTACATATGAAAGGTTTAATCTACAATTCTAGTTTAGTAGTAGAGGGGGTTCAAAGACTACTTTAGATTACGTATTTAAATTCTAGGTGTGACACCTATTATATTATTTAATTCCCTTATACAAATTTCTAAATCCACCTTTTGTTGGTGAGAAGAGAAGACTTAGAGTTCCTTTTTAGATGTAGAGTACACATTAGTACTAGTTTCATATACATCCAATAATTTCAATTCATATCGACAAGAGGATACAGTGAAGAATAGCAGAAGAAAAGTATAATTGGAGAACCCTTCTGTTAGCCCATGCTCGTTAATTAAGATCGGAAGATTCAACTAAAGAAGAGGAAACTAGAAGTGAGAGAAAGTATTTTGGATAAAAGAACTTTGTTACAGAAGAAGATTGTTGATTTAGGGTTTGTTTTGGGTTTTAGTTATCTACAAATTCCTAATGTCATCCATATTTATAGTTATGTTGGGATGATTATAGATACTAAGAAACTAGACTATTTAAACCCCCTTCTACAAATATCTCCCTCAAGTATCTAATATTCTAGACTATCTAAATTTTTCTTAAGTACAAATATCAAAGATATTACTTTACAAAGTTATAGAAAGTTCTACTAAATATCTAAGATATTTTTTGTACCTCCAAAAAATCAACTTTAATTTTCACACTTCCCCTTAAAGTGATTTTTTGAAAACTACCCCACACTTGTCGTGGAGGAGCTCAAATGAAGCTTTGAGTCAGGTCTTGGTGAAAATCTCAACAGTTTCTTCCAGACTCCTCTTGTTTCTTCAAATGATGAAGAATTTTCAGCTTCAATTGATCCATGTGAATTGTCCCCATTTTGAGTTCTCAGACTCCCCCTTTCTCTTAGCTTCGTGGCACTTGTACTATATGAATAAACATCTGTGATGGGTAAGTTTAGAACTCTAGGGTTCAAGATTCTAGAAGTCGTTCCTTTTAGTGCAACTCCACAATAGAAGGAGATTTCATTTGTGAAGACTCAACACCATAATAGGATCCACTACCAAATTTCCTTTCTAGTTCTTCAATAATCTGATTATCAACTTTAGAGATTTTGAAAGTCATGCCATTTGTCTCTCCTGAAATGCAGCCATCTTCTACATCTATTTGATCTTCATCATCTCCATTTGCTTTCAATATTTTATCTAAGCTAGTGAATGACCTCGATATGGCTGGCGATTGATTAGAGAATTCAACTTCCCCTAGATCTTTCTCAATGTTTTTTACATAAAGGTTACCATTGGCATACATAGTTTCAAACACTGCATGTTCATGATCTACTTCTTTGATTTCTTCGATAGAAGCTACCATATCACTAGTATAAACATCTTCAAAAATTTCTTGTTTCATACTATTGACATAAAATTCTTGCTTCTCCATGTGATCGACTGCATTATATTCTAAATCCTCGATCCAGTCTGTTTCAAGATTGATGGAAATCATGGAATCTATTACTCGAGCCTCACCTAATAAACACTTTCCCCAATCTTCTTGTTATTCAAAAACTTTTTGAACCATATTGTTCTCCTAGGCTCAACAATATCTTTTTATGTGTCCTAATTCACCACAAGGATAACATCTGAGTGGCTTCTTACCATAATAGTTAGAAGGATCTTCCTTCTTTACATGTAAGCTTGAACCACCTAAGGATCAAGAGTGCAACATTTCTCTTGTGTTTCCTTTAAATTCTCAAATTCATCCAAAGATGGTTATTGAGCCCATCCTTGAATCAATGTCACAAATGGAATAGATTCATGTTTCAAACCACGAATGACTATTCTTCTTATATTGCTTCAGAGATCACCTCATTCGGAATCCATAAGAATATCTAAGAACATAAATTCTTAATCTTCATTAAGTACTCAACGATAGAAAGATTACCTTAAGTGGTGTTAGCCAATTCATTCTCCAGTATTTGCAGCCAAGCTTCATTCTTCTTGTTGCATAAACGATCAAGGGTCCTCCATATTTTATGAGTGGATTACACTTTATAATATGTTTGAATAATCCTGAGGAGTTTGTCCTCTTTAGAATGAACTCTTTGTTTACATTCATACTTTATTCAAATAAGGAGAAACGTCGTGGTGACTCGAAAAATAAACAATTAACTCAATTTTTAAAAGAATTTTAAGAAGAAACAATTTTAAAAGGAGTCGCCACCTAATTTTAGGAAAAACTAGGAAATCAATTAGATGATCTACGAAACCATTAGATTCTAGGTAAGGGGTTCAAGTTATTCCGAAGGGAAGGTGTTAGGCATCCTTCGAAATCCACAATTGCGGATCCCGACTGAGTTCAATTTTTCAAATTGAGGAGGAGATAAAATAATATACAAGTAAAACAAACATGCGATATATAGAGAAATAATAAAACAAAACAATAATATCAAGACGGCCTAAGATTTACCTAACATCGTTAATATACACAATAATGAATAAAAAAGATAATTTGAACTCCATTCGACTAGCTTCAATGGCAAGTGACTCCGGAATACCTGTAAAGACACTTAGTAATAAATAAATAATAACAAAAATAGATGAATTAAATAATAGCTTAAAAATAAAAGTCCGTCTTATTAACATGAGAGGCCTTGGAAATCGACAGTAATTTCTTCATCAGCCATTTTAACTTACAAAAAATATAAACTTAAACTAAATTTCCGTCTTTTATAAAGTGGAGGCCTCCAAAATCGATGCAGAGATTTTTTCATTGGCCAATATCAAGCATCTACACCATATTAATTAAGCACACCAACAAATAGTGAAAACGACAAAGAATATCTAAAATAACCCGAAAGGTAACACACTATTAGTAATCAATTCAAACAATAATATTGAAAATGGTTCCAACATTCAAAGATAATAATAATATTAATAATAAGAAGTCAAATATTGAAACAACAATACTATATGGACACGGAAATTTTTGAAATAAAACTCACACATCATTATCATGACAATAATAAAGTTAATTTATATAACCAAACATTAATATAATAATAACAAATATAAAATTGAAAATGGTGATTTGTGGTACTGTCAAGAAAAAAATAAAAATATTTACACAAATACTATTCTACTAGAATGATAAAATTTGAAGACCAAATATATATATATAACATATATTCTTGAATAAAGACAAAAAGTATGTAAAAAAAAGGGAAAGGGCAAAGGTAACAACAATTTGTCTCAGTTGACTTGGATACGAGCATCTTGCCGGAATTTTCAGTTTGCCAGAGATGAACAACAGAAAAATAAAATGGACAAAGAAATACACACTAGAAGAAAAATAATTAGTGAAAATAAAGTTAACACAACAAGAGGGCTAGGAAAGAAGAATATGGGACTCACAGTGCTTTTATTTCTCATTAATAGTTGTTTAAGAGCGACGTGGTAGTGTTCCTTTGATGAGATCAGGTGGCTCGTGAAGTTGGTGTGCAAGTTTGCCATTAATGGCGTTTATGGTCAGCATCTGGTGGTCTGGGTTTTTGATGTTGTGTTGTGGTGGTTCGATGGTGGTCGCGGCGGTGTTGTCGTGCTGTTATTCGCCGGAATACCTGCAAAAACAAACAAAAATCGATAAAGGGGAAGGGGAAGGCAAGCAATGGAGAGCAGTTGGGTCGATTCTTAGTGGGGTTTTCGCCGGAGATGGTGTTTGGTCGGGATTTAAGGGCATGGTTTGGTTGTTTCTGATCTGTCTTTTGCTGAAAACATGGGAAAGAGACAAAAGGGGTTTTGCGTTTGGTTCGCTGGTCTGTCGAAAAGGGAGAATCGTTGGGGTTTTAGGTTTGTCCTGGTGGTTGTTGTTGAGGGTTATTTGTGGTTGTTTGATGTTGTTTTAGCTGTTGTTTGGTGTTGTTTCAGCTGTTACTTGGGAGCTTGTTTCAGGCGGCTAGTTTGTTGTAGTTTGGAGGGTTGAGATCTGGTGGTCAGATGGTTAAAGCTCACCAGAAATAATGGAGATTTTGGTTGTTTGGCCTAGTTCACGAGCTCATCGAAGCTCAGAGGTTGGTTGAAGAAGAGAATAGGCATTGAAGAGAGGAAAGGAGAGAAGAGGGGTGGGTTGACCAGTGGGGTCTCATTTTGGTGGTGACTGGTTGGAGCTCCGGCGAAAGTTTGCCGGAGAAAGATAATGATCTATAGAAAAAATAAAAATCTGAAAAAATTAAACCCCAAATTCTAAAATTAATTCACCACCCCCTTTATTTTTTAATCTAATCAAAACTTATATAGGAAATAATTTTACAATGGGCTCAAATTGTGGGTTTGAGATTATGACCCAAAATTGTTGGTTAAATAAAATATATGTGTATATAATTATTATCCTAATTTAATAGTATTTTTAGACTGTGCTAAAAACACCAAAATTGATAGTAATAAAAGTAATGAATAAAATGAATATTAAAAAATGTAATGAATGTAACCCATGATGTGTAAAACAATGCATTTAACAGAAATAATGATTTAATCAAAATGAACAAATATTTAAACGTATTCAACCGGCTGTGACAAAAGTAATGTAATTAAAATTAACTAATAAAAATCTAAAATTTTGATAAATAAGGATAAATATCGATAAACTTATTTAAAATTATAAAAAATGTATTTTGAACTATTGAATAAATAAAACTTAAAAGTTAAGAATCTTGAAAATGTTAGGCCAAAATTGGGTGTCAACACTCCTCCTTCGCATTACTCTGCTTTCACTTCTTGTATGTGCTACTATTCTCCATTCCGTCATCAGAAGGACTTGTGTTACTCTCATTAACAACATCCCACAAATTCTTGCCCACAAAGTATTATTCTATACATGTATTCCATATCTTGTAATTAGACTGATTCAACAACTCCATCCATAGTCCTTCAATAAGACTGTGTAAATCCACTTGAACAATCCAGTTGAATCAACCACTAACCCATTCTTGAAATAAAATACAAAGTCCAATTAACGGCTATGGCTGTGATACCTTATAGAGAATAGCAGAAGAAAAGTATAATCGGAGAACTCTTTTATCAGCCCAAAATCGTTAACTAAGACCACAAAATTCAAGTAAAGAAGAGGAGGTTATAAAGTAGAAGTAAGAATTTGGAAAGAAAAACATTGTAATAAGAGAAGACTCTTTGATTTGTAGTTTGTTTTGGGTTTTGGTTATTTTTAGTTATTTATAAATGCTTAATGTAATCCCTATTTATAGTTATGTTGGGATGATTCTAAATACTCAAAATCTAGACTATTCTAACCTCTTCTACACATGTCTTCCTCAAGTATCTAATATTCTAGACTATCAAGATTTTTCTTAAGTACAAATATCAAAGATATTACTCTACAAAATTCTAGAAAGTTTTACAAAATATTTAAGATATTTTTTATACCTCCAAAAAGTCAATTTCCAGATACTGCTAGGATGGTAATTAAGCACCCCTAACATCAACACAAATGTTGTGGATTAGAGTTATTAAGGGAACCAAAAAAAGCATGGGAACTCTTGAAAAACGTTAATAAAAGTGTGTTTGTATATATATATATATTTCGAAACATAATTTTTGTTTAAAAATTAATGATAAATGCAACAAATAATAGATATGAACACACAATTTATAAAATAAAATGGATTTAATGTGAAAAACCTTTTAAAATTTGAATGCATAAATCTCAAATCGTGAATTCACCTTTGGCGAGATGTAGCATAAACAAAATCTGACTCAGACATCAGTATTACAAATAATCAAATCAAAATTGAATTTTTACCAGTTTACCTTCATCAAGGAGAATTGGAGAATCACATAGACAAAGAAAGAGCTCTTTTTTGGTGTTGCAAACAGGTGAAAACTCTGATTTATCAATTATTTCTTGATTATCAAGAGGCAAAAATCTTTCCAAAATTTGGTCTGATCCTACAACAAATTTGAATAGTTTTGACAATGTTGTTGATCTTACAACATCTGCAGGAGTTATTTTTGAAATTATTTCAAAAATGCATTCTTCTGGAAGCCTTTCAAAATAATTCATTGGAGCAATGGGCATAAAAAGATTCATGCCAATTTTTTTGTAAAAGTTTATAACTGAGGCATAGAACCAAAGTTATGTTTGTTCCAAACTTTATGTATAATTTAAATAATTAAAAGGGAAGAAATTTTAGAAATCTATTTTGTCAGTTATAGTAAAAAGTACAGATAAGCATATACGATTATACTTGTTTTAACAAAATAGATTTCTAAAATTTCTTCCCTTTTAATTATTTAAATTATACATAAAGTTTGGGAAGCCTTTCAAAATAATTCATTGGAGCAATATACATAGAAAAATTCATGTCAATTTTCTTGCAAAAGTTTATAACTGAGACATAGAACCAAAGTTGTGTTTGTTCCAAATTTTATGTATAATTTAAATAATTAAAAGGGAAGAAATTTTAGAAATCTATTTTGTCAGTTATAGTAAAAAGTACAGATAAGCATATACGATTATACTTGTTTTAACAAAATAGATTTCTAAAATTTCTTCCCTTTTAATTATTTAAATTATACATAAAATTTGGAACAAACACAACTTTGGTTCTATGTCTCAGTTATAAACTTTTGCAAGAAAATTGACATGAATTTTTCTATGTATATTGCTCCAATGAATTATTTTGAAAGGCTTCCTAAAGAATGCTTTTTTGAAATAATTTCAACTAATAAATTGTTAGGGCGACAATGTCATATTAACAAATAAAGAAAGCCGATAAGGCTGCAACTGAAAATATATTTACAACAAGCGAACAAGGTTATAAATGGAAGTTGAGAAGACCCAATAAAATATGTCCACAAGTATCTACGAATACTATAACTCATCTGGTTGGGGATAAGCCCTAACAATATCCTAAACTATATACAAAATTCAATTATGCAAAACTTACAGTTAACCAACAACTCCAAGAAGAAAGAAGCTCACCAATCCTTAGTTGAGACAACAACCTCTATTGTAAAGGTCGATCAAAACCTCTGTCTGAACCTACAACACGACATGCCGTGTCTCAGGCAATGTGACGTCAGTAATATTGAAAATGTACTGGTATGTTAAGCGGAAAGTAAAACCATAAATAATTGTGATAAAAAGGGTAATAAAGATACCACCTGAAACTAAAACTCTGATAGCCTCCATGACCGACATCTGAACTCATAATAAGAAAATATGCCTGATATGCTTGTGTAATCGTATGTCATGAATACATTGTTAACCTCATTTTAACTATCATCAAATAGTGTACAACATATTGGTGATTCCTAAATTATTTAACTTAAGGAGTCGCTACCTAATTATTTTAAAGGTAAATTAGGATACCTAAATTACTAACTAAGTAATAAAAATAAACTCCAATTAAGGTCTACTAACTTATATGATTCTAGGTTAGGATTCTAGTTATCCTAAAGGGAAGGTGTTAAGCATCCTTTAAGATTTATTAAAAACGATTACTGGTCAAACTTAGGTTAATTAAAGGGAAAAATAAAATAACACTTTTTTGTTTTTGACCTTAAAAATCTGGTCGTGAAAAGTGTTAGAAAAAGTTGCGTTTTAAAATTCCTAATTATCAAAAACAAAACTTAAAAGTCGATACAAATCTATTAAGAAAAGGTCCACCTTCTTTCCAAAGTAATGCCTTCTTAATCCAACAAACGAGCCAAGTAACAAGTAAAATTTAAGTAAAAAGCGACTTTAAGCCAAATTAATATACTAAACTCAATATCTAAAAGAAAGGTGAGCGGCTACATCTTACTATCATTTTTAGTTGATTTGCACAAATTCAAACATAAATTAAAACAAACAAAAATATAGGTGCAAAATAATATGTAAAACAATAGCCAAAAGATAACAACATATACGTATGTATTATAAAAATGTAAAGCTTTGAGATGAGGAGGAATTGCCTGATTTTCTTTTGGGATGAGTAAATCTCTCTAGACACGAGCAAAAATGCATATGTTAATCGCTTCTCTTATTTGGACGAAGATGGAGTCATATCACAACTCCAAATGCACTTTCTAGTGTACAGTATAATAGAGAAAGGAGAAGGAGATTAGTAAAAATGATTTAACTTTAGATAATATTGAATAAGAGTACATATATATAGGCAAGTAAGTCACACAACGAAAATAACGATCTTGACTACCAAAGGGAATAAAACATACATATATAATATGCCTAAAATCATTGGTTTGCTTGCACTTAAAAAAAGACATCATCAGTGCAATATTTCTAACTGAGTAGTATGCATTTAAGAACACATATTTCTGTATACATGAACCAAAATTTCCTATTACATAAAATACCAAATTCACATTAACTTGGACCGAAAAAAGAAAATAAATAAATTGAAGTTCCGTAAATATGTAAATCTTAACCTGAGATCTTTCTTCAAATCTGCAACGTCTAAAATAGGAAAAGAATATGGGTTCATATCTCAAACACAAAACACAAGTACATTCTTTAATATATACCTTCAGTACAACAAAGCTAGCAAAATTAATCTCTTTCTTAGAGCATATATAGTATTTTAACTCGGAGGCAGAACATAGGAAAGAAGAGCGAAAATCACCTGTTGTGGGACAGTGAACGGAGCTCTCTTGACCTCAAATCTACCCTCGAACTTGACCATGCACAAGAATCCAGGGAAAACAATGAAAAGTTGAATCTTTGGTCAAAACCCTCAAAATCGCCTCTTGATTTTTTCAAATAGTTACTCGAAATAGATACACACCTCTGCCTTCAAGGATCGAGATGGAACTTTGTCAAAAAATGGTGAAAGAGCCAAAATTTCATCAAAGATTGGCTGCTTCTATGACACAAAAGAGAAGAGGGACAGTCTATAGGGATCCAAGGATATTTAGGAAAATTTTGGTAGATTAAATGAGGGTAAAATAGGTAGTTCAAGGAATTTGGGATCTTAGGGTTTTAATTTGAATTGACCAACCAATGCAGAGGAGACAAGTGGTAGAGCGTGCGTTGGTCATGGAAGACATGTGAAGAGCGTATGGAAAACGTGTGTTTGGCATGTGTGTTTTGGAACGTTGACACCTTATGTGACATCAACATGGCTGCTCGCGTGACGCTTATGTGGAGGGGGAGTGTAAGAGTGGACTGTGGAAAAGGGCTTCTTCTTGAGTCATTGTTAGGTGAACTTTTGTTGGGCTGAAGATTTCTTTTGGTCTTTTTCTTTTCTTCTTTTAAAATTTTTGGGCTTCTAACTTAATAACCAATCATATCATATCATATAATATATTTATATAAAAGAGAACCCTTGGCCCGCCTACGTGGCGTCACCACAAGCTAGAATTTTCTTTTAAATTTATTTGTTTCCAAAAATAGCCTTCCCTTTTCATGAAGAGTTGTGACTTTTATGAAGAGTTGCGCCTTTTATGAAGACTTACACAAAAATAGTCATCCCCTTTCATGAAATGATGTGACTTTTATGAAGAGTTGTGACTTTTATGACGAGTTACGACTTTTATGAAAATTGTGACTTTTATGAAAGGTTCTGACCTTTCCGAAGGGTTGTAACTTTTCCAAAGTGTTGTGACATTTCTGATAAGGCACAATAAGAATTCATTCTCACTATCATTTGTTGTCTATAAATATAGGGATTTCCTCTTATTTTAAAACAACGTAAATTCTGAACTTCTTCTTCTTCCTTCTTCTGCACAAATAAATATTCGAGTACTTTGCTCCTGTTGAGTGGCTCACTGACACCATTGTTTTTGTATCAATATACTTCTGAATAAAATCGTTCCATCTTGAGAGGATCTATTCGATTAAACCTCGGGTACTAGAGGGGATTAATTTCCTTAAGGGGACACTGTGCATTCAGTGGACTCAATTTTATATTTATATAAAAGAGAACCCTAGCCCCGCCTACGTGGCGCCACCACAAGCTAGAATTTTCTTTTAAATTTATTTGTTTCCAAAAATAGCCTTCCCTTTTCATCAAAAGTTGTGACTTTTATAAGAGTTGCGACTTTTATGAAGACTTACCCAAAAATAGTCATCCCCTTTCATGTAATGATGTGACTTTTATGAAGAGTTGCAACTTTTATGACGAGTTACAACTTTTATGAAAAATTGTCTTTTATGAAAGGTTTTGACCTTTCCGAAGGGTTGTAACTTTTCCAAAGAGTTGTGACATTTCCGATAAGGCACAATAAGAATTCATTCTCGCTATCCTTTGTTGTCTATAAATATAGAGATTTCCTCTCATTTTAAAACAACGAAAATTCTGAACTTCTTCTTCTTTCTTCTTCAGCACAAATAAATATTCGAGTACTTTGCTCATGTTGAGTGGCTCACTGACACCATTGTTTTTGTATCAATATACTTGTGAATAAAATCGTTCCAAGAGGATCTATTCAATTAAACCTCGGGTACAAGAGGGGATTAATTTCCTTAAGGGGACACTGTGCATTCAGTGGACTCAATTTTTTCCTTTATATTTCATTCTATTGTTATAGATTCTGGTATATTTTTTTTACATTTATTAATTTATGATTATGATATTAATTGTTGTTTTTTAGTACATGTTTTAAACTTTGTTGTTGATGTTTCTGCAAAGTTATTGTTATAAATATTTGTTAGTACATATAAATATTATTTATTTATTAGAAAATTTAATATCTCATATTAATGTTCATCTAATTTCCCAAAAATATCAAATGGTAACATTTCCTGGAGGCAAAAGGATAAATTATAAAATCAAATTAAAAATGATTGATTGAAGGATAAATGATAAGATGTTATAATTATTATTTTCCTTTACATTATTAATGTACGTTACTACGTAATCTTGTATGTAAGATAATATAGTATTTTAGTTTTAATGACTGATAGATTGCAAGTATTATTTTATAAATTATGTGATATTAAATTTCCGCGCAAAGCGCGAATAATTTTACTAATACTATATATATTATAAGATGACAATTAAAAGTTTATAAAAATAAAAATATCAATATTATGACTTGACACTAATAGAAATATAGATAGAAAAAATATGGTTTTATAATTAATTAAATAAGTACGAAACTTTTAAATAAAGTGACGATAAATCCAATATTTAAGGAAAAGAGATATAAAAAATAGAACATATAATTTTAAAAGATCATTTTGATAGCTATTAATTTAGAAGCTCAAAACTCAATGAATTAAAGAATAGGAGGGTAAAAATTGAGTGTCAACAAAAACATATAAATAAATGCAAATGCATGACATATCAAACTAAATGCTAACAATGGTGGTGCCTTCCGATAGCTAACCGACATCATATTCACCAACTTATGGCCATCTATGTCTCATAAGTATAAATATAAGCAATAGATCCCATACCTCCCGATTATATCTTGGGAGTAGAATACACAACATGTCATGTCATGAATTCGTAATGCATATATGTTAATTACCATAATCATGTTGCCAATCTTGGCTCATTGGTATTCTTATTTTCATAATCCCGTAATCATTTTCATATAACATGTAAATGCCTCATAGAACATCATATGTTTTCAGAGTAAACCTGAATACTTAACCCGACTTTGGAAAGGTAGTTATATCGGAAGATGTCGCAAGGATCTTAGGGTGCTAAAAAATTTTCCTCATGACTTTATTAAACTTTCATACGATCATTTAGGCCTACAAAACTTATAATAGATTCAAAGCTCTTGACTCAACTTCAACTTACAAAATTATTCATTTAGGAACTCAAAAGGAGACGAACATGGTTGACTTGATTTATGAACGACTCCAATTTGATAGTAGTATGGTCTTTTTTAGAAACAAGATTGCTTAACAAGTATATAACCAAAAAGAAGCAATACAAGATTTAGTATTAGTATCATTGTCAAATGTGTTATTTGTAAAAGCTTCTAACATGAAAGAATTGCTTAGCATCTCCCTTGGATACATCATAATTATTCTCAAACATTTCAGTCTTACTTTCAGGACAACAGTTCACTAATAGACATAAGAAATATAAAAATCGGTAGAAAATTAAATTTAATCATCAAACCGAATTTACAACGTTACAAGGGTGATAATTTTACGATAAACCTAAGGAATACAATCAACTTACATCCTAATGCCTTTCAAAGAGGGTCTTCCTAGAAGCAACATAGTAGAAATGACTCATTCAATAATTTGTAATTTTTTTAAGATTCGGGGAAAATGAAAAAGAGGAATTTTGCCGTAACATATCTTGCATACAGGCTTGAATAACTTCATATATTTAATCAATTTCCTTTTGGTGATCAAATAGAGTAATAAATCAATTTTTCCCAACAAATCTCCACGTGAAAACAAATATATGCCATAACTTGGAGCAATTGGAGAGAAATATATATCTCTTCGTTAATGAAGAGTGAAAAGTGAAAAGAATAAGACGTGTATAGATCCTATTATATATACATTTACATATACTTGTGGTAGGTGTTCTAAATTTCGGCTATATATATATAGCCGAAATTTAGAACACCTACCACAGGTATATGTAAGTATATTTGAATGAACTGCTTATTGGCAACTCAATAGTTATTGCACCTCTCCACCACTTCCACGTGAAAGTGGTGGTGCCACCTAATATGTTGAAATGCCAAATGCAAAGAAAGCAGAAGATACGGTTTAGCCAGCTCGCTCTAGTCCCCTACGATAAGGATGAGAAAAGGCCAAGGAGTGAATAGGAAGGAATAGGGACATCAGCCTTAGCTCTTACTGTTCGAAAATTAACTGTACATGAATAGACTCTTTCTTAGGCCATTATGTATGCACTCAGATATTGTATAGACTCGTGGTAAAATATATATAACTTTTTAAATACAACATAATTAATAAAAAATTATTTTGAATAAAGTCTAACCATATATAATAATAATTTCTTAACATAACAAGACTTACTATCACTGTTAAAATATTACTAATTGATAAAGCTCTTATAAAAATAAATACATATATACAAATGTATCGTAGATAAGAGTTTTTCCATAAATATTTAAGACATTTTAGGAAGGAAATAAATAGATTATTTTTTAGATTTCAATTAAAATACGATGTTATCAAATCATGAGAGGTACTACAATAAAATTAGGCAGAAGTACTCATTACCCCCCTGAACTTGAAGCTTTTTATACGGTGTACACCTAAACTAAATTTCGTTTTAATTACCCCCCCGAACTTATTTATTCCTCCGTCGCGTACACCTTTTTCGTCCACCTACTCCTGTTGGGACCACACGCGCGCGACAGCTGTCTAAATTGGTGATGTGGATTTCCACCTGGATAAATTAATATTGCAAAAATAAATTTCTTAAATTTAAAATTCATTATTTAAAAGTTATTTTTGAATAAGGCTGATTTCGCCGAACTCCTTCTGGATTTGGGTTTTTCTAGACGTGAAGTTGGTCGATTAAATTTCAAATTTGTCTGAAATTCTTACCAAGTAAGTGTTAATCTTTGTTTCCTTTACTTTTCATCTACATTTTGCCCTATTTTTCGTTTAAAATATGCCAAATATTAAAGAAAAATGAAGATTTTACGTTTTTTTTTATCGCTGTAGCGTTATGATGTGGCAAAAAATCACTTCCTCACGCGCCTAATAGAGTGTGTAAATGGAGATTTTACGTTTTTTTACCGTTGTAGCTTTGTGATGTGGCAAAAAATCACTTCCTCACGCGCCTAATAGAGTGTGTTGTCAATTTCTACGCCAGGTGGACGAAAAAGGTGTACGCGACAGAGGAATAAACAAGTTCGGGGGGTAATTAAAACGGAATTTAGTTTAGGTGTACACCGTATAAAAAGCTTCAAGTTCAGGGGGGTAATGAATACTTTTGTCATAAAATTATCAAATTTAGGCTCGTAAGCCTTCTATATTTGAAAAATGTCAACCGTAAAATCATTTCTACTTCTAAGTTCAACTATTCTATTGTAAAAAAACTTCTCTTTTAACTATTCTAGGAGGAAGATTAGAGAATAGTAGATGATAGAAAAGAAAGGAATATGATGATCTATGGACAAGTAAATTGTGGCTACAATTTACTAGTGTTTATACTAATATTTGTCTGCCTTCTCACCTATAAAAATTCATTAATGAGGCACATTGAATCATGATACATAAATTTTATTTCTGATTTCATAATTCAAAGAGTCATCGAATTGGAAGAGTTTCATACATTATTTTATCTGCTACTTTAATTGAATTTATTAATCTAATCAATTATAATTATAATGCGATAACTACAATTCTTCAGTCGCACCTGCACTTGGATCAGTGGACCGTCAATTAGGCCATTTCCTTCCGGTTAAGCCGACAAGACACAATGAGTTGGTTTTTGCGAGCCGTCAATATCTTCGTTTCTGTGCTTTAGAGATTTTAAGCTTAAAAATCCCTTGATAAACATTAAAACATAGCAATAATTCATGAATTTGAGTTCAATAAGTTTATAAAATACAAACTTA